AAGCGCAACTCCGCAAGCGTATCCCACGGAGGGGTCGGCTCAATCAACGACTGGTTTAACTGTTCAATGCGACGAAGACAATCCTCAGTAGTCTGCTCAGTGCTTTCTACTCGCGCTGGCACTCCAGAGGAAAGAGTACTGATGAGCATCAATGCTCCGACAACAGCTTGCTCAAGAGCCCAAATTGCGGCGGCCTGCTGCTGCCACCTGAATTTTCTCGCCTACGAGAGAACGATGAGCTAGAAGAGCTTGCAGGTTGATCAGTCTCTCCAATCTCTTCTTCATCTTCTTTGCGCTTCTTCAATGATAGGCGAAGTTGTGACTGCTGCTGCAGTCGCAATCGCACCTGGGCCCTTGCAGAGTCTGTCTGCGAGTGAAGCCACCGCCAGCGCCGCCCTCACCCCCCCACCCCCCCCGCCGCCCGTGGTCCAGGGCGGAGTCCGCGTCGCTCTAAAGCACTGGCTTAAGGGGCGAGCGCCCGTCCCGCCGAACCCCAAATTCATCACCACCCCTAGAGGAATTTACCGGCCGGGAGGCCTTCGGGGGGGGAGGGTAAATTGGCATCCGGGTGCGGGAGGGGGGGGTAAATATCCTTGTTTTCGGGCAGCCGGAGTGTCTTGTTTTCCGGGTGAGGATTTGTGGTTTTCCGGGAACCCCTCTAACGACGAGGCCGTGTTTTTGGACCTTAGCCGTGCGCCGACCCCTTGGGCCCATCGGCCGGGTGGTGCATTTCTTGGTCCCCGGGGTACCTTGGTGTGTCGTTTTCTGGCTAAGGTTTTTGTGGCTCCCCAGGAACCCTGAAACAACCAGGCATTGGTTTTGGACCTTGTAAGGCCGTGCGCCAATCCCTCAGGCACGGTGGGACCATCTAAGGTGCACGGCGTGCGCGCGTCTAAGGTGCACACTGCTCACACACGGTGTTTTTCAGGAGGCTATAGGGCGTGCTTTCCAGGAGGGCTTAGGGCTTAAGGCATTTTGGGGTTTAGGGGTTTAAAGGTTTTTAGGGTTCAGGGCTTAGCGGTTTTTAGGCTTCAGGGTTTAGGGTCTTTTAGCGTTTAGGGTTTAGGGTTGAGGTGTTCATAGGGTTTAGGGGTTTACGGGTTTTTAGGGCTTGGGGCCTTTGGGGTGTAGGGTTTGGGGGTTCTGAGAGTTTAGGGCACCTTAGGGGTTTTTAGGTTTTGGTCGCACAATCACAGGTAGAACCCAGAAACCCAAATAATTAAACTTGTACAAAAAATGTGCCAAAATGTATCTGAAAAATGCGCCTGCGAAAGGCGCATGCAAAAGCAACAAAAAAATGTGCCCAGAAGAAGCAAAAAATGCAAAACATGTAGAAAATGGTACAAACACAAAAATAGTCACATTTTTCGAGCGACTACTGCGCCAATGCAAAAGACATCACATTTTCGAGCATATGGCTGTCCACGTGAAATACATTTTTTGGACTCAGTGAGTACATGTCCAAAATCCAGTCACATTTCGGAAACACATGTTGGCACAAATTATTCACAAAAATGATTGTGCCTGATTGCGCCACTAAATTTTAGGGTTAGGGTTTTGGGTTAGGGTTTCGGGTTTAGGGTTTAGGCCCCACGCATGTTGTGATTCTTGCGAGAGGGCAACAACAAAAGCAGAGGGACGGGAGTGTCCGGGACCAAACCCTCGTTCTCGGCTCGAGAACGGGGGTTTGCTTCCCACCAAGGAGCAAACCGCCCATTCTCGAGCCGAAAACGGAGATTTGACTCTTCTAGGGTCTTTTTGAGCTTACCCGGAAGAAACCTGGGGAAGTGGTACCGCCGGTCTTTTTGAGCTTACCCGTAAGCCTGGGGAAGTGGTACCGCCCATCTGTGGGCGGCGCTGTGCTCGGCCTGTGAAGTTGAGGTCACGCGTGCCTTGAGGACGCTGGGTGGCTGGAGTACCTGGAGCCTTCCATTGACGTGAAAAAATTGCCTTTCCATGGAAAAGTCATGGACCAAAAACGGCCCGTGAGGCTGTGAAAGTGTTCAATTCAAGGACGTTTGCTTGCAGCGTTTGCTTCCGTTTGTTGAAGCAACAAGAAGCCGGAAGCCACAACCTGGAACCCTGAATTTGCAAACTCAAACAACACGCAAACCTGAAGCCAAGCCATGAAAGCCTGAAGGAAAAGGCGGAAATGGCCAGAAGAAAGGTGGAACTAGCCGGAAAAAAGCGGCAGCCGAGAACCCTGACCTGTAGCTTCACGCTGTCATGGCATCAGAAGCAAACCTCTGGTCGACATTCACTACGCAGGATCCCTGAACCATTGTGATGGGCGCACTTGCCCTCAACAGGAAGGTGGATGATTTTGTTTGTCATGGCTGTTTTGCTCAAACATGCTTGGTTTTGAGCGTCTTGGCTGTTTTTGGTGCAAATATGGCTTGTGGCCGTTTTTTCGCCTTCACAGAGGGTCCAGGTAGTGAAGCCGAGGAAAACAAACCTGCGCGCCGCCAGCGATGGTGTGCCACTTCCCACACACACACACACACCCGCGCGCACATTGCGTGTATCCTGGAGCTCGCCGGCTTGCAGAACTACACACAGGCAGGAACGACAACGATGGGCCCGAGATGTGAACAGCCAGAGCCGGTTGCGTGGTCAGCCGTGAGCTCGGAAAGCAAGAGGGCGCTCCATGATGGCTGGCCAGCTTTGAACCAACCCGGAATTTGTCGCCGAACCCTCCCACAATGGAATGATTCTACATTGATTATACAAACTCCTGGAAATTTACCGGGAGAGGGTTTCAGGTGGTTCCAGCCTCCCACTGTGGAATTACTGTCAAAACCCTGCCCCGACAGGAATTATTTACAAAACCTTCTCCGGGGGGGGGACACCCCCTCCCATAGGTAAATTAGGCCAAGGGGGGGGTGATCCCAAATTCCTTCAAATTCGCGCGGGGTGGGAGGCCTCCAAAACTCCAAGGGGATGCAACAGGCGGTGGTGCGAAAAGCACGAAAACCTCGGAGAGAAAAAAAAACCATGGTTTTTTACAAAAAACCGAGGCCCCCAAACGCCCGCAGCACCCCATTAAACCCTCACGGGTCGCGCATCATCGACCCTATCGGTTTGGGGGGGGGGGGGGGGGGTACCGGAAGCCCAAAACCAGGGGAGCATCATGAACATCAGCAGCCCTTGGCTGCGGCTCCAAGGCAGTAAAAAAAGCTGAAATTGCTGTAAAATACCGTGGTTTTTTTAGGTTTTTCACGCGCGCCTCCGACCCCCACCCTTGTTGCCCTTGACCCGCCCCCAAAGTGCGCATCATCGAAACCCATGTCCGCGGGGGGTGATGCTGCTGATGCGCGGGGGTCCGGGGGCATCATCGAGCCATCGCATCTCATGTGGCTTCGTGGGCCTCCGGACCCACGGCCCAAAGACCCAGCTGATGCTCATGATGTTTGTTTTGGGGCACTTCTCAAGAGCAGAAAACCTCGTAAATACCGAGTGTTTTTGGGCTCCGCGCAAAAACACCCCTAAAGCTCGCTCATGTTACGCGCGGAAACGGCTTCATGCCCACAAAACACCCGAAACGCAAGACCCCGAATGCCCTTAAGGGCATTCGGGGTCTTGCTTTTCGGTGTTTCATGCCAGCGTTCAAGCACATATAATCAGCGTGTTCAGGGGGGGTTTGGATGGCCTGGGGTAGGCTGCTGATGCTCATGATGCTCCCTTTCCGGAGACGAAGAGAGAAAGAGAGAAAGAGAGAAAGAGAGAAAGAGAGAAAGAGAGAAAGAGAGAAAGAGAGAAAGAGAGAAAGAGAGAAAGAGAGAAAGAGAGAAAGAGAGAAAGAGAGAAAGAGAGAAAGAGAGAAAGAGAGAAAGAGAGAAAGAGATAAAGAGAGAAAGAGAGAAAGAGAGAAAGAGAGAAAGAGAGAAAGAGAGAAAGAGAGAAAAATATAAAGAGAAAAAGAGACAAAGGGGAACGACCAAGAGAAAGTGAGAAGATAGAGAGGGAGAGAGATAAATGACAATTAAAAGACAGAGAGAGAGAGGGAAGACCAACCGCAACAGAAAGAAAAGAAAAAGGAGAGAGGTGAAGGAGAAAGACAAAGGTGAGCGGGAGGAGAAAAAGAGAGAGAGAAGGGAGAGGGTGAGGGAGAGAGAGAGAGAGAGAGGAAAAGAAACAGAGAAAGACCAACAGCAAGAAAGAAAAAAAAAGTGAAAGAGAAATAGAAAGAGAAAGAGAAAGAGACAGAAAAAGGCAAAGAGAAAGCGAAAGAGAAGGAGAAGGAGAAAGAGACAAGAGAAAAGAGAAAGAGCAAGAGAAAGGGAAAGATAAAGAGGAAGATGAAGAGAAAGATAAAGATAAAGAGAAACAAAAAGATAAAGATAAAGAGAAAACGAAAAGAAAAAGAAAGATAAAGCAAAAGAGAAACCGAACGAGAAAGAGAACAACAAACAGGTAAAGAGAAGAGGGAACAGAGAAAGAAAAAGAGGGAGAGAGAGAAAGAGAGGAGAGCCGGAGAGCGAGAAAGACAAAAGACAAAGAAAAAGGGAAAGAGAAGACGTGCAAGGTTCGAGGTTTCGTGTTCGTATTTCAGGGGGAGGGGGGCCGGCCCGTGCCGCTAGGCCTAAAATATAACATACAGCATATAGTATACAGAATATACTATACAATCTATAATATATATTAGCTCATAGAGAATAGAAGATATATACCGGATTATATGTAAAACCCTTTGTACTACGTAGTATTTTTCTACATGCTATATTATTATATTTATCTTTTGTGTGCTGAATATGGTATATTGTATATTGTATATGCTATATTCTGAAAATCTATTATATAAAAATATATATAGATATAAGCTATTCTAGTATATATTATCTATTCGATGACCTATTATATGTTATATATGGGAAACATTCTATATAAGCTATAGTAGAGAATATGTATTACATAGTATAAACTGTAGAAAGTAGATCTGATATATTATGTACTTCATGATCCATTATAATATGGCCCACGGAACGCAGAAGCCAAGCATCCACCACATTGGCCGACGATGTCTGCGCTGAGAAGTTTGCAGACGCAACCTTAAACCACAAGATGAGTATTCAGTATTTATGGCAAGCTCCAAAGTGCTGCCGAAAGTGGCCCACTTAAGTTTGTGAGTTCATTGGTTGTGAGGAACATCTGAGAACATCTGGCCGCATCTAAAGCATGCCTTAAAAGAATTGCTCGACGAGCCTCGCAATCTCCGGGCCCCGCGCTGCAAAACTCTCACCAGCACTCGCAAGGAACTGCTGGATGCCAACGGACTTCCCAACGCCAGTCTCACCTGCGCAAGTGGCAACACTTGTGCCTTACTTGTACCCGGTATACGAGTACCTCGCACGGAACAGCGCGTGAGAAAGACTTCACGTGCCACCCTCTTCGATTCAACTCCTGCGACACTCCTGCACTGCCAGATAGCACTTTCAGTTCTTCTAAAATATCGCGCTGTGTGGCAAGCCTACTTTGTAGCCCAACCTCTATTCTCTACAGGTCAACAACCCACCCGTGCAAAAGCTCGCAACATCAAGCTGTCAAATGGTGCGCCATTGGGAAGTTGGCCTGAGAAGAGCACATGATACCCGGAGCCCATGAGATTTTCCACCTTCACTGGGAAGTGGGGAGCGACTTGGCTTAGCGCTCAAATATCAAAGGACGGTGCGGCTACTGTCAAGGAAACAGACCCGGAAACAGCGCAGACACAGTCGGAAAGCAGCCCCGCCACATTCAGTTAACCCTAAACCCTAAACGCTCAACATGCCGCAACCCTCAACCCTGAACCCTCAACCCTATGCTTGCGTGCTTTCCCGTTTCCCGCTGGTCCCCGTGATGTTTGCCGAGTGTTGCCTGGCTGTTTCCGGACTGGTCCCCGGCTGTTTCCGAAATTTTCCCGGTGAATGTGGCCTCTGTGTCCTGAACGTTGCTACTCTGATCAAAGGACCCCTACGCAGCGAGCTTCATGAAATACCTGGGAGTAGCCAGGATGGTTGAGGGCTTGAGCCTAGTAGGTCACATGAGGGGTTACATTCCAGAAGCCCCAAAATCAAGGGCTCCACGAGCAGTCGCTGCAGAGTGGTCTCCACAGTGGGCACCAGGATGTTGAAGAATGGTACCTGTCGCAGAACATGGATACTTTAGTGTGTTTCAGGGATTGCATGAAACCCCGTGCAAGCATGGCACTCGTGACTGTCTCTGGATCAGCATGATCCGATGCGGTGCAGCTCGTGACTTTGGATGTGCTGCTTACCGGGGCTCACTGTTGCATCGAACGAGAAAGCTGGCACCAGAGTGGAGATCGGTATGAAAGACGCCTGGCACACCAGCCCAGCATGGAACTTCGCAAGTCCTCGTGGACTCTGTCACACGGCTTCATTAACATGCCGCGCTATCTTCTAGCGATAAAATCCAGCTATAAGACCACTGCCAATGGAAGCAACTACTCCAGCATCCAACAATCCACACTGGCCAGTGCCAGTTGAAGTGACATCTTCTCACAATGTGTTCGGAGAGGCTAGAAATAGAAACGGAAGGCGAACTTCATCGTCTACAAATGAGTTGCAATCACGGCCCCGCTGGCAAAACTGCCTTCCCTGATCCCTAAGCTCAGCCTAAGCTGGAAGAGTGTGCACAGGCTGCAAGAATGCAGCGTTCTGGCAGTTTGTCCCTTTTGACTTCAGTGGGCTCGGGGCCATTGTGCGTTGCACGGCAGAGAACGATCCATAGCAGGACGGGCTGGACAAAACGGACATGGATCGACTAGCCTCGGCTTCGGTTCTCCGCGCCCCACTGTCACATCTGTTTTTTCTACCAAGTCTTTTCAAAGACTGCAAACACACCAACCGCATTATCTGTTCAAGTGGGCCACGCAGTACCGGGCAGCATTCGGATTGCAAGCGCTGATCGTCGAGGTGCTCGCTTCTGTCATGGACTGCAGCATTGCCCGACTTCAGCGTCTACTCAAATTTGCCCACCGTCTGGACCGAAAGCCCGACTGGTCGGTGAATTGAAGGACCGCTGCCTTAACGTGCACCTTGACATGCTGCAAGTGTTTCATCAAGCTTCAGGGCGTATAGCTCCAGTATAGTTATGTTTGCATGATTTCTAAATGTTTATCTGCAAAGGTGTGACGGAAACATGCGGAGTTGCCTAGCGTCCTACAGGTCCCACCTTGGGAATATTGGCGGGGTTATCTCCTGAATTTAGTGTAAGAGCCGCGCGCGAGCCATAACAAACACTGTAGCATTTACTCCGACTCTTTGGTTCTCCTTACGTTTGTTCGTGTAGTAAAGCTCAGAAAGCCCTCACTTGCTGCTTTGCTCAACTGCGAGCCGACGCGTAGGACCAGCGAGGGCGGCGTCGAGGCGGAGAGGCCTTGAAATGAAGGCTCTTATAGGCAATGATGCACTGCGCATGGCAGGCTCCTGAATTCAGACAGTGCGGAGCGATGTAATGTAAGAACAGCAAGCACAGAAGAGCATAGCAGTCTCCCCGTGTCTCACCAGCCCCCTGACGCCACGCACTGACGCCACGCCCCCCGTGACGCCAAGTCTTTGGCCGGTGCCTGACGCCACGTTCTGACACAGATTTGACTCCGCAATCGGTATGCGGCCAGCGCACCTTTTCGCACGATTTCTCTATATCTGCCCTCTTCGGGCCCTTTTGACGTTGACGCCACGTTGAGACGCCAGGTGCACGAGCTCTAGTGACGCCACGTTTGGATGCCAAATCTGATGATGCCACGTGTCTTCGCGACGATGCGTGAGCGAGCGACGCCACGTGTTCACGCCACGTCGTGCGACACCACATTTCTGCATGACGCCACGTTTTGACACCACGTTGGCGTTGCCACGTGCCTTCGTGACGCCAACGTGAGCTAGCGACGCCACGTTTTAACGCCACGTCCGGCGTCTTCATGACGACCCCCCCCCCACCCACCCCACCCCCCCCCCCACCCCCCCCCCCCCCCCACACCCCCCCACACCCCCCCCCCCCCCACACCCCCCCCCCCCCCACCCCCCGCACCCCCCGCACCCCCCCCCACCCCCCCCCACCCCCCCACCCCCTCCCACCACCCCCCCCACCCTCGTGAGCCTAAACAAACACCCTTGGCAATGCGTCCCTTTAAATACCCATGTTTTGCCACATCTTCGTTCGTTACACCCACCAATGCCATGTGCAAAGCTGCCAGGGCACAGATCTCCGAAGCTAAAGGCTGGTTTTCTTCGAGCCTTCTCTGATCTGGGGCCCTGGCGGCGGCGCGCTCTAGACGCTGCGCGCTGAGGAGGTGCAGGATCAGCAGCTCCTATGGTCAGCTCTGCAGTGAGCTTTGTTCGACATTCTACCCGCCGCTGCATCGAAGCAGTTCGGTTTAAACATGTCAATTGGCATGTCGAGCTGCTCCCAGATTCTTCGACGCCGCGGGCCCACGCTACGAGCGCCTCAGACTTTCCCTGTCAGATAGCTGGAACCCTTGCGACATTCCTGAACCAGGATGGTGGTGGCCTCACTTTGGGGACCCTCCTGGGGACCCCACCAGCAAGTGATGTGGGTTTGGCTTTCCTTCGTCTGCGATGTACGCTACTGCACGCGTTGGCGTTGAACCGGCCCGGCTGCCGAGACGGAGCGCGCAAGAATTTACAAGTAGCAAGCAATGCTTCAGACAAAACGACACAAAAAGCAAACCAACATGTCAAGACGCCCTGCTCAACCCAGCAAGAAACATCGTCAGAGGTCCGTCTTCTCTTCTCGCGAGGGCGGAAAGTCCCAGGCTTTGTGCTCCCACTGGGCGCAGGGGCAGTCTTCGAGGAGGGCCTACACCGTCCTACATGCCGGGTGGGTGGTATGAGTAGCGCCTCACAAGACATCTCGGTCCAGCTGCTACATGTCTCGGGCTGGCTTGCAGGGTGTGGGTGAGCATGTCGAGCCCGTGTACATAGAAATGTTCGAGATGACAGCTTGATCGCCTGTGAACCGGTGAAGCCTGAGGTGTTAAAGGCTAAAGAGCTATCCTCGGAAACAAAGAAAGAGTATGTCGAACATGGGACATCAAACGACGAACATGCTGTAACTACGGATGTCTTCGCCATACAAATATGCTCCGGCTGCCCGAGCGACGACGTCTCTTCGAGGTTTGTGCATGTCAACACAAGCACTCAAAATGAAGCATCCTCACCAGGACACAGGACAGTAAATACCATGCACCATTTCGAGCACATATCTCCTGGGAACATCAGGGCGCCAGCTAGAACCGTGCCTGTGTGCATCGTGCGCGCAACATGCCTGAAAGCGTGCTGGGACATCGGTGGGCTTTTGCTGCTGAATGAACCGATAGCGGGAAACTTTCTGGGGAAGGAGGCATGTTGGAACCTGTGGAACCTGTTTCCTGTGTTTCCTCCCTGCACAGTCAACCGATTTGGACCCTTCACACGGAAACGCTCCCAGCAGCCTGCCGGAAAGAGAGGCCTGGCAATTGAATGTATAGGCGCACCGCACGAAATATCCGTGCGACGCCCGGACCGGCAGATATCGGATCATCCGAGTCGGATCCCACTGACAGTCGCTGGACCCCCAAGCAGTCCTCAGATCCTGAGTTCTCGGGCAAACTTGCTTTGGTGCAGGGGGCCCAGACTAAAAAGGGTCCAACGTTACTAACAGGTACGACATTGGCATCTTCGAGGGACCTTCCCGGGGGCGCAACCTCCACAAAGAAATCTTTTCCTTCTAAGCTGGGTGTGCGGGCACGGTTTTTACACTCTGACAACAGAATACAACAGAGGTAGGGCCTCCTTCACAGAAAAAAACGCTTTGAAAGGCTCACTCCCTTCCCAGTCCCCTCGTTAACACCTTGGGTATAGTGCTGCCACATACTGTGCCCCACCCTGCCTTTCCGAACCGAAGGAGAGGAGCCCTGGCCAAGCCGATCTTGATTGGCAAGAAGCTGCTGGCATGCCCATTAATTACCTTATTCAGGTCGCAACCGGCGCCAAGATCATGGTGCAATCTCATGAAACATCCGATGTTGTGTGGATGAGCGGCGGCTGAGCGCATGAGTTGCGCAGGTAACTGCCAACGTGTGACAAAATGAGCAACTGCATGTCTGGCCTTCCGTCTAACCATGTTGAGAAGGACGGTACTTCCTTGAGAGTGAACAGGGTCAGGTCTTACCCCCAAGTCGGAACATGAGCCATGCTTGGGCGGCTGAGGTGGAACTGGCATCCCAGCTCTCTCCCAAACACCTCAAATCCTCAACCCGAAGCCCAGGAAGGAAACCTGGGCCGCAAGTGGCCCGAAACCCCATGAGTTTCGAGTTCTAGGGGCATGCATCTACAACTTTTGGTAGCGGAGCAGAACAGAAGGAAGCGGCACATCCACCACTCCCGCAAGGAATGCAGGACCCTGTCTCTCCTCAGAATTCTCTTCGTCGCTCTCCGCCTCTTCCTTAGTGTTACTTAGCAGGGCCCAAGAATGGTGCTTGTGCCTCAGCACAGAACTCAGCATGCGATTTAAAAACACTCGACCCACAGACATGCGACCAAGGAGCATCCAGCAAAGACTCGAGCAAGGCCTGCAGGTTCTGGAAACCGGCTGTTCTGGGCTTGTGGGCTGAGTTTGGAGACTTTGGCACAGCATTGAAGAACTACTCCGTTCTGCAACCATCTGTTTAGCAGTCGCGACATGAAGTTGGACATGCAAGCCGGCAAGGTTTCCTTTTTGACAGAACTGTGTGCTGCGTGCCTGCTTCACTACTTCGTTGAATTCTCGTGAACGCTGCATGGCAAGGGCACAGGGCTACGCGGACTACGGGAGGGTTCAAAAAAGAACTGTTGCAAAGGCCGAGGCAACGATCTATACATACAATATGAAAACATAGAGCAGACATTGCATTTTACAATACATACTGAAGACATAAACATATGTAGTCTAAATCTACATATAGATTGTGTAGGCATGCATGCGGACGAGACAGGACAACACAGGACAAGACAACACAAAGCAAAACCATTCGAGGCGATACAATACCAGTACCATACAGAATGAATGCAACACGAAGTCCACTGCAAAACACAATACAGACAATACACAATACAATGCTACACCTCACGTCGAAAGCACTATATAGAGGCCTCCAGCGGCTGCCCCCGTGTGGAGGCCAGTGCTGAAGCAAGGACCTCCGTGAAGCCGTCCTTAGGAGACACAAGCTGAGATGCATCGAGTTGCTTCTCGGCCTATGCACTTGGTTTATCGGATGTTCCGATGTTGCCCTGCTTTACCACCTAGGCTGATTAAAGCGAAATTGCGAATTTCTGGGAAG